GCTTAATTGCACGAATTGATTTATGTTTCAAAGATTTGTTCAATAAACTTCCTTCAAAAGTTTACGTATGTGAAGTAGTTTTTTCGTTATCTATAATTGTGTAGTCACAATCTTATTACAGACGTTAATAGATGGAAAAAGTAGTTTTTAGCACGACGAAGAAAATTCCGTACCAATATTTGTGATACTACTACGAGTATACGACTGAATTTGTCAAAACAATGAGCATGAATTAAAGAAACTTGGGCAACATTTGTTCTGTTTTGCTACTAAACGCCATTCTTCATTGTTCAGCTGACAATAACACATCTAAAACATCATTGAATACCGATACCAATGCTATTTATTTAGAAAAATCATCAAGGAATAAACGCACATTTCCTCAAACTAAAAGGAAAGTGCAAAAGGAAGACAGATGATGGGGAGGGTCGGTTGATTATTGATTTTCAAGAATGTACTCAATTTCAGGAGAAAAACGACATATTCTAATTTCATTTAAAAGATATTTATAATCAGTAAATTATATTTAAGAACTTTCGTTGAAAATATACGTTGACGATGTTTCTGTCATTTAGTTTTTTATGTTAAAAATAACTGATTGTCACATAATAACTTTGCACTCTCTTTTACTTCAGTTGGACTCTTCCGGATGGATCGTCTCCTGGTACTCTGGCATACCTATAAGAATAAAGAAAGAGCTTATTTAAAAAATTAAAAATGTATAATTGACATTTCTATGTTACCTGTATATTCTAATGTATAAACAAAATATACTGCTTTTATGAAATAAAGAGGAATGATTTCTTTTATTCTTACTTTATTAAAGATAAGTATGATCTTGTTTAGTGTTAGGGAGCGTGTGTATTCGTACGAAGGGGCCTCGTGCATTTCACGTGCTCTCTATGAAGCAATTACGAGTATTTATTTATTTTTTTCTTTTAATTATAAAGATCCCATGTGCATATTTAGAGAAATAATGAGGCAACGTGTATCATTTCATCATTACTGTATTACTCCCATATGTATCTCCTAGACTGGACTCAATACTTTATTAATTACTATAGTTCTCGTAATCTTTTAGGTTCTTTTTAACATATATTGTATTGGTAGATTTACATTTGATTAATTCTGTGTTTTAAAGAGTTTTCTGTATCAAAACTTTTTTCAGCTCTCGAATCTACAAGATTTATCTGCAAATAATACCGGATGTCTATTGTTTATCTTCGTCCAATATCGAACTGGCCTCATCAACTCCTATTCTATGTTGGTCAATTAATCGCCTGGGACTCTTCTCTCCGTGTTTGATACTGTGTGAACCTCTCTCATTCTGTCCTCATAATCACGTAACACTTTGTCTCCGTCTAGTACTCGTTGCCTTGAATTAGTGGATAATATTTCTCTCATTTACATATGCGCTTCAGTTGTTTGGAACGAGCTTTATAGATTTGCCATAAGTCTGCACGTGGACTCTGCTAGTGAGTGAACCATTGTGTTACCAAACATCTCACATGCTCGTTTTCGCCTCTTCTCTTTACTTCTTATGAATACTTCTCACTATATGTTCAGCTCCCTGTCCGTGGTAGCTGTGCCGGGTGCTACACAATCCATATATACGTCTGCCCTGTTTGTTGTGCATTAGTCACGCGCTCGTCTTTCGCAGACGCGTTATGATGATATTATCTGCTGGCCACTTGAGATATCTTGGTGTTTCAAAAAACACGCCATGCGGTTGTTTATTTGTTGACTTCTCGCATATGTTGAAGTCATGTCTCTGTTTAGAGTTTAATGTTACAACAGTGATAAATTTGCGTGATGGTTTCGTCCATATGTCTAAAGTGTAATGTTTGGTTATTGGACACATGCCAGTTGCTAGTGAAATGATGCCAATTATATCTTTAAATGCCAACATATAGATTATGGGTCGTATTGGCCGAGTGTATCCAATCAGATTTTCGTCTGCTGGAAAACCATAAACTTCCTTTGATATCAGTTTTGCATATATTAAGAACTGACATGCGTAGTTGTTGACTATTTTCTTCAGATATTTCAATGGAACAGTGACGTTAATTCCGCAAATTGATAGGTGCCTTTTTGTAAACGGGACTGTTTCTGTAAATGGTACAATGGAAGCATTAGTGCGATTGAATGCTGGTGAATACTGGGTAATTGGAGACTTATTTTGCGGGTATAAATCTTTGAAGAACATTTGCATGTCTCTTGGACAAGGGCTGGATTTTCCACATTGCAATGGATTGAGATTGTCGTATGTCAACATATCGTTAGCAATCGGATTAAACTGACATCCGTCATTTACTTGTAATACAATATTGTCGCCTGATTCCCGCTGTAATATATTGTCGAATATATCCTGCTCAAAAATATTGTCGTCTGCTTCGTGATGTAGCAAAGCGATGCCTGTAAAAATGGCTGGGCATATTTTGTCGTCAGGGGATGAGGAACTATCATCTAGAGTTGCTGGAAATTGGCTAGCTTGATCAAACAGTGTGTCATCAACGATATGGCCAATATGTGACTCAATAACTTCTTTATCTACAGAATTTTCTTTGCCGATTTCAACATCATCTATATCTTTCTCGGTTACCTCACTGTCGATTTCCTTCGTTGTCAGGGTATTGATATCACTATCATTTACAGGTGTGTCGAATGATCTGATTTTTCTATTTTTACCAACACTTGCGGGTCTAATACAGAAACTATAAAGTTCCTCAACTTGTGAATCATCGTTGACTTCCGAGTACTTGATATCAATTTTTGGTTTTTCAATATGCCTTAAGAAAGCGTCTACACTATTACAAAAATTATAGTATGAACGGTTTGGTTTTACAATACTCTTTCTGGCTTCTTTTTCCTTGCTGAAACGGTCTTTTAGTTTACTTAAAAGACTTTCAACCTTACTTTTCATTTCTTCCTCGTCAACTTTTCCAGAGACTTTCCAATCAATTTCTTTTTCCTCCTCTAATTTTCTCATCATTCTCCGCCTTTCAAGCACGCTGACAAATCTTTCACTGGTATCGTTATTGATAGAATCATCTTCCTCTGTAACTTTAGATATGTCATCAACAATATCTGATATATCAGAACTATCACCGGCACCATCGGTGTGTGGTAAGTGACCTGCATTGTCTAACAATTCGCTGTTGAAACCTTGGTTAGTTGACAACTCTGAAAATGAGTGAGAGAAAGGGAAAACTTACAAACAAACACAAAAAACACCATAAACAAACAATTACTTCAATAGGTTTACAGTGATCCGTATTGTTGATCATTGTTAAAAGTAACTTAAAACAAGTTTTATTTAGGTGTTGTTGTTGATCTTTCTATCATCAAATATAAATTGCTAAATTATTTTAGTATATAGGGATGTCCATTCTGACCAACGTGAAATATGTTAACGTTGTCCTTAACTTCACAATATGTAATAAAAATGATTAATAAATAAATTCCGTCGATCAAATCACTCAGATTTGATAAATGAATAAATAAATGAATAAATAAATAAATAAATAAATAAATAAATAAATAAATAAATAAATAAATAAATAAATAAATAAATAAATAAAATAAATAAATAAATGAATAATTAAATAAATAAATAAATAAATAAAATAAATAAATAAGTAAGTAAATAAATAAATAAATGAATAAATAAATAAATAAATAAATAAATAAATAAATAAATAAATAAATAAAATAAAATAAAATAAAATAAAATAAAATAAAATAAAATAAATAAATTATTTATTAACGATTTAAGAAATATTTCAAAATGATTCTATAGAGCTCTTCCCCTACCGTCAGCAGTAATTTCAACCAATTTTATTTCTGGATAATAACAATGTAAAGCAAAATTTTATCATACCTTTCAAATACTCTGTAGATATGTTTTCCATGCTTATTTTATAAAGTTCTTGCTATTCGTTGCTTCGTGACATTCTTTTAAATGTGTTTGCTTTCCTGCGTTAAAATGCGTCTGTTGATATGCGTTTGTATAATAAACTGAAAACCATAGAGCTAACGTCTTTTTACGCTAATTTATATGACGTCATGACGTTATTTTTGGCAAAACGTCCAGGGGCGACTACTAATGGTGTGAAGTTCTTTCCCTTTGCATGGAGTTCAGCAATGAGAAAGGTCGTATGAATTATTAAAGGCCTCATTATGCCTCAGAAATGCATATTTATTATATTAATCTTTAGAAATGTCCAACATATGTTTAGTTATGTTTTAATAATGGAGTTAGAGTGTGTAAGATGCTTTACAACAGAAGAAAATAACAAATGTTGGATGTGCAGTAATGTTTTGTAAAATGAAAACAAAGTAGTATTTGAAAGAAAAAAAAATGATAGCATTTCTGAGCCATAATGACCCTTTAATCTGTTTTTGTATTTGTAAACTCATCTTGAGTTGAGCCGCTTTAAAGTGAACTTAAAACTTAACACTCAACTATTATAAAAACATCTTTATTTTATAAAATCATATATATAATAAATGCGACAAAATTTAGAAAAAAATCTACATAATTATATAGAGGATATTTGTTTAGTTCAGTGTAAGATCGAAATATATTTCACCGAGTGAGCACCAAAAGGTATATTTCACGAGTGGCGCAGCCACGAGTGAAATATGAACTTTTGGTGTTCACGAGGTGAAATATATTTTGATCTTACACTAAACTAAACAAATTTTCTTTTTATTATATGCAAAGAAACGTTTAAAAAGACATTTAAGCATAGTACTTAATGAAAAGGGCGCCAAATAATAATACAACGTGACGTCATTTACGACGTCACGTCATTAAGTTGGTTTCCATTATTGTGAACGCTTGTATTTCACTGAAACAACGTACCGGGCTCAAATATTCAAAACAGTGAAATTATCAAATTGATAATTTCACTGTTTCAAACAGTGAAATTACCAGTTTATAAATCACTGATATATTTCTATAAACCACCGAAAAGCATGTAATAAATAATAATAATAATTATGTTGAAATGTATATGATATTTGAGACACAAAATATAAAGGGTAAAGTCTGTTTATAAATGAAAAGATGTATTACTTTAAAAGATTATGAACTGTAAAATATTTTTAAGATTGTGAACTATTGAACAACGATGATAAAGTTGTATTTAAAGTAAAGTTCAAAGTTGATGCCACTTCCGCCGTATTCATAAACGGTGATATAGTAACAAGTGACAGTGACGTCTGGAATAACACCCCTGTAATGAAAATAATACATATATTGTATAATTTTGATAACGAATGGCTACCATAAGTAAAAATAAATTGTTCTTATTAAACAAAAGTTTTATAAGGAGAAGCGGTTGAAGTTTTAGCCTAATCGGTGATTTAGCACCAAATAATGCAAAGATCCTTGAACATACGTGATACTTTGAAACAAAAGTGTATTTACAACATCATACGTGATAGTATGAAACAAAAGTGTATTTACAACAACATACGTGATACTTTGAAACAAAAGTGTATTTACAACAAATGGTCCTATATATGCGAATGCGCTGGTTTTTGTTTTCGGACCAAATGTAGCATTAATGTGACTGGGAAATTAGCGGTATTTTACCATCAGCAAGTCCCCACAAGAAGGTCCTGATGCTAGGACCAGGGCAACAAATAGTTTGTGAAAGATGGCTACAATAATTTTGTAAAGAAATTTTGATTTGATTCAAAGAAACACCGCTTAGGTCCGAAAGCCTTAAACATTTTTCCCGGGTATCTTTCTTATAAACCGTTCTGCGTGCTTTTAAACAGTTCATATACATGTATATTAATATAAAATGTTACCTGCTACGCACGCTGTCATGAAGCATGCAATGTTTCCATTTATCATAGACCGTAAAGATAGCTGGGCGAATTGCGAGCGTCTTTCTGGAGCTGATGACGTCAGACTGCCCAGATTTATACCCAGAGCTGCTATACTCCCGAATCCACATAGAATGTATGTTGCCAATACGGCAGACTTTTCCTGAAAACGATAATAAATATGTTGGGATTGTATTAAAATGATGTGATCATAGAGTGAACATGTTACATTTATTGTGAACATGTTAGATTTATTGTGAACATGTTTGATTTATTGTGAACATATTAGATTTATTGTGAACATATTAGATTTATGGGAACATGCTAGATTTATTGTGAACATGTTAGATTTATTGTGAACATATTAGATTTATTGGAACATATTAGATTTATGGGAACATGTTAGATTTATTGTGAACATGTTAGATTTATTGTGAACATATTAGATTTATTGGAACATATTAGATTTATGGGAACATGTTAGATTTATTGAAGCGTTTTCCGCTAAACTTATGCATCGCAAGTTAGAGCACTATATATAGTGGTGTTTTTGTGTAATAAGTTCATGAAAGGGTCACAACACGTGTGAAAATCTAAATTGGTAAATAAACAGAGCGAGTTCGATAATAATAATAATAATAATAATAATAATAATAATAATAATAATAAAGAAACAACAACAAAAAAAAAACACAACAACAAACAAACGAACTCGTAAAAAACATTCTATCTATCTTTCAATATTGTCAAAACCCTAGCGGGAACCTAGATATCATTATTGTAGGAATGCAAATTTAGAAATAGTCTTCTAAGTGGATACAATATTAGCTGCGTCACGACAAAACCAACGTTATGTGTTTGCGACCAGCATGGATCCAGACCAGCCTGCGCATCCGCGCAGTCTGATCAGGATCCATGCTATTCGCTTACAAACCCTATTACAAGAAAGGAAACTGATAGCGAACAGCATGGATCCTGATCAGACTGCGCGGATGCGCAGGCTGGTCTGGGTCCATGCTGGTCGCAAACGCATAACGTTGGTTTTGTCGTGACGCGGCTCATATATTGTATAACTTTACTCCCGCTTCCTGGAGTATTCCAGAAAGTCGAAATAAACTTTCACCACGCTAAATATCTTCAAATTATTTAAACATATTTTAATCTGGACAAAACCATTCATCATTTTTACGGAAAATTTCAGAATATTTACAGATTGAATAGCTGTCAGTGCAGACAAAGATATTTGTATGCTCTTGTTCTTATGGGTAGAATTTATTTACACTAGCAGGTTAAGTGTTAAATGTTTCAAAATATAATTCATAGACACGTTTCATTTTAATGATCATATTTTTTTTGGTAAAATACTACACACATATATACATTATTTATACATTATATCCTTACACACATTTATGCACAATATGCGTAACAAGATACTTTAACACATAGTATAGATAAAACAAGTTCAAGACGTGAGTAGAATTAATACTTACATCAAGGGAGCCTTCTTTAATCATGGTCCCTAAATCGGCGTAAGCGAGGAATTCATTAATGACAATTTTCTTCCCGATCAATGCGCCAACAGTTTTTGTATCAGACCATGGGACGCCGATGACAGCAGCTAGTGGCATGAATATGTATGAACATATTAACTGAAAGTGAAGAAAGCAACTGCCTCATATATTGCATATATTTAAAGACTCATTGTGCTTCAGAAATGCTTTCAATTTTATTTCTCAAAACCATTCATTTTTGGGGTAATTTGTAACAGTTACAAAAGAAAGAAAGAAAGAAAAAAACAACAACAACAAAACCCAATTGGATGAACCAACGTTTGCTTCTTTTGCCCTGTTTGTAATTGTATAACTGTGGTTCATTTGTATTTTGTATGGAAGTGAAATACTACATTGTTTACGTTTTTCTACCTTAACGAACATTCAGGCACGTTCAGCCTACTTTATTCAGTTGTTAAACTTCTAACATGCTCTAAATCTATTTTTAAATCATTATATGTAAACGCATGTTTGAGATTTACTGATTTAAAAGAATTAAAAAATATTGATTTTTATGAAGCATAATGTGAACATGTACGTAATATTTTCTATATTAATATATAGCGAATCTAGCATATGCAACAGGAGACCAAGACATAACAAAATCACTGTGAGATATGGATATTTAATATTCGCTTTGAGATATGTTCAAATATAAGAGTAAGATTCAATATGATGTGTGAGGTATATTCAATAGTTACTTAAAGGCCCATTAGGCCAAAAACAGGCATTTTATTTTTATTTGTCAAAAGCTTTATAAATTTGTTGTCCTGTCCTGTTTACATCATTATTCATTTATTTTTTGTTTACATTTTGCGTTTCTTTCATCACAATCATGATAAGTACAAATGTATCTTACTACATGTATCTCTTAAATCATTATTCAAATAATTATAATAAAACACACATTTGCCATTTATAGACAGGACTGATTTTGAGAATTTGGCTCCCTATAAGATGCTAGAGGCATTTTGTAGTACAAGTGGTATCTTGGTGTATTTTACCTATTTAAGGTTTGATGAATCCGATAAAGGTGGATACCAAACTGAAAAACTTGATCTTGACCATTGAAATGGTCATTTAAAATGACCACTAAAATGGCCGCCAAATTTCTTTATCATTAATGGATGATATAGCAAAAAAATCTTTAAGGAATGGAAAAGCCTGAAATTTGTCACAAAGCATGTTCAGGTAAATACTACGGAATGCCGTTAGGGCCATCGCCTATGAATGTGTTGATCTAAAACGCGATAGTCGATAGTACGATGGTGAAAACGCGAAATCACGAAACTATCGTGTTTTCACCATCGTACTGTCGCGTTTTCACCATCGTAGTTTCGTGATATCGCGTTTTCATCATCGTACTGTCGAGTATCGCGTTTCAGATCAAACCATTCATAGGCGATGGCCCTAACGGCATTCCGTAAAATACAAATTAGACACCAAAGCAGAATTAAAACAAAACAATCCAATATTGCCGAAAAATCCAAGAAGGCGGACATTTTTTATAGGCCAATAATAAGTAATATTAAAGATAGTACTGAAAATTTTAAGGCAGCGAACACTACACTGCCCTATCTGCTAGATATAGAGCTTCATGTATTTTATCTGGCACTCTATCATATAGAGCGGCTACTCAGATTCCTATTAAAGGCACCTTTCTCTGATTCTTGGGTGTTGGTGTTCGTTTTTCTGTTATCGGTCGACGGTCGTCGTCTTCGTTCTTCTGTTATGGGTCCTCGTCGCAGTTCTCTTGTTTTGGTCCTTATCTTCGTTCTTCTGTAATCGGTCCTGGTCTCAGTTCTTTTGTTGTCAGATGTTCTGTTATCGTCCTCGTTTCTGTTGTCAGTTCTTCTGTTATTGGTTCCTGTCCTGTTCTGTTATCAGTTCTCGTCTTCGTTCTTCTCCGTTCTTTTGTCATCGGTGCTCGTCTCTTTTCTTCTGTAATCAGTCCTGGTCTCCGTTTTCTTGTTGTCAATTCTTCTGTCATCGGTTCCCGTCTCTGTTATACTGGTATCGGTCCTCGTCTCTATTTTTCTGTTATCAATCCTCGTCTCAATTATAATTGTCTTGTTGTCAGTTCTGTTTTTGGTCCCTCTCCTGTTCTTCTGTTAGCGGTCCTGGTCTCTGTTCGGTTGTAGTCAGTTCTCCTGTTATCGGTCCCTGTCTCTATTGTCAGTTATTCTGTTACCGGTACCTATCTCTGTTCGCTTGTTGTCAGTTCTTCTGTTATCGGTCCCTATCACGTGCGCTTGTTGTCAGTTCTTCTGTTCTCGGTCCCTGTCCTGTTCTTCTGTTAGCGGTGCTCGGCTCTGTCCGCTTGTTTCCAGTTTTTCTGTTATCGGTGCCTGTCTTGTTCTTCTGTTAGCGGTGCTCGGCTCTGTCCGCTTGTTGTCAGTTTTTCTGTTATCGGTCCCTGTCCTGTTCTTCTGTTAGCGATACTCGTGTCTGTTCGTTTGTTGTCAGTTTTTCTGTTATCGGTTCCTGTCTCTGTTCGTTTGTTGTCAGTTCTACTGTTATCGGTCCCTGTCTCTGTTCTTCTGTTATCGGTCCTCGTCTCTGTTCGCTTGTTGTCAGTTCTTGTCTCCGTTCTTCCTTCTGTTATCGTTTGTCGTCTTGGGTCCTTGTTTCCTGATCCGTTAAGGTCTTCTCTTGTCATTCTGTGTCGATGTCCTGGTTTTGTCAGTCTTGTAGTCATTTATTCGTTCAGTGGAGTACGGGGGATCGAACTCAACGACCCCTTGATTTGTAGGCAGACAGTGTTACCACTGCACCATAGCGCCCGGCTCTGAATAAGGAACCATTTTTGAAATGTCCTTTATACATTAAATAACTTTTTTCAATGGCTTTAACAAAGGGTGTATTACAATTATATTTTAACACCTCTATTATGTAGCCAACCCACGTGACTTTTATATATGGTCAAAGAAAATATTACTCGATTTTTTTTACAAGTAATATTTTTTACAGATAACTTTCTGTTACTTTAAGATATTCTGGAAATTTATTGGAGGGTCCCGGAATTCTAAATGTATATCAAATGATGTGATAATCTTCTTGTAGAATTTTCTCAAAACCGTGACTGAATTCCAAAATTTCGAGGAGCTGCCATGGTATAGCAAGCACACATAGCAATCATCCGGTTTCAGACATTTTATGACTTGATGGAAATATGGTGTTGTTGTTGCTGTTGTTGTTTGTGTTGATTTTGACTTTAACTTTAAATTTTCAAATTAAATCGCCACTTATTTTAAAACAAGATGGTAAACATTTGTTGTTTTCTGTATTTTTGTTAAGAATGTGATAAATTATACAAATGACTTTTTAATATTATCGATTATCCATCGTATACCTTAATGCAGTTTATAATTGAATAAAAAAAATGAATTATGCAGATATTATTTTCGGCAGAAAACAGCAAATACAAACAAAAACACACACAAAAAACTTACATGCAGCATACATGTGTAATGTTCACAGTGTGCTGAAAAAACGGCTCTTTATTAATTTCAACATTTCAGCAAGTGACTCATCTTATAAAAGAATGGGACAAGAAATGTTGTTGTAACCATTTAAAAAGTAAGATTTGTAATTTGTAAGTTCAATATTTTTTACCTACTTTGCTCAAACCTCAATAAATACATTTTATATATAAACCTGAGGTACAGAAAATTAGACAGAAAACAACTTTCATAGATTGAGATAGAGCCATAATGTCTTAGATAATAGGGTTACAAAAGGAGTTTTTTGATTCCTGATAATGTTTTTAAGTAGAATAAACATAATACAAACTTATATTCTTAAAATTTTGTATGCCTTAATTTCAATTTTTTTATTAATACGTGCAATTATGTAATTATTATGTTTTAAGTTAGTTTCTGGAGAGTAAAGGCTTCACAAAGGTGCTATCTATATATGTCCATCTATGTAAATGTCATCAAGAGATGTTTTGCATGTGGAAGAAATGTATTTTTCAGACTGTAAAATGAAACAAAAAAAATTAAGAGACGATATTTGCTGATGTATAGAATTAAGTTTTCTTTCTTTTTATTACTTTTGACATTTAAGTTATTTATCAATTTCAGCTTTGCTTTTCTCTAAACAGCCTCACATTGTCAGAATTGTCAGCAAAAATAAAAATTGAGGTACCACATGGGGAAAATCTTAAGAAAGTTAGTTTTCGTCATTGAAAAGTGTGAAATTATATTTTTGATAATTTTTCACTGTGAAATTATCGAATATAATTTTCAACGGATAAATCAGTAATTCACTGAAATTCATAAAATAAAAACTATAATACTAATGTTAGTGAAAGTCATATCTGCTAAAAATGTAAACGCTATCGTTACTTCGACAGTAGCACAGCTGGTTAAGTGATTGACTGATGTGTGAGAGGTCTATGGTTCGATTCCTACTGTTGCCTTTTTTTAAAGACCTACTGTTTTTGTTTTTTTTTGTTGTTGTTGTTGTTTTTTTTTTTTTTGGGGGGGGGGGGGAGGGGTTGCAATATATATTTTAAAACACTTTTTGTCTCGGTTTGTGTTGTATTTATGACACTGAAATGACATTTTTGACATTTCAAAATAATTTTTTAATACTAATTTAAACCATAAATACCATAATAAGTGCAAAATATATGAAAACAAAATGAACAACTTAAAAAAAAAAATAGCTACAAATTATGTTGAAAATTACGGAACATCTGAAGTAACTTTTTCCACACTTTCTCCCGGAATTGAATTCGTTTTTACGAGATAATAATTCCCAATTAGAAATATTATTTCGTTTTAACGAAATATAAATTTTTTATTTTATGCTTTTCAGTGGATTACTGATTTATCCGTGAAAATTATATTTGATAATTTCACAGTGAAAATTATCAAAATATAATTTCACTTTTTTCAATGACGAAACTACTTTTTTAAGACTTTCCCCATGTGGTACCTCAATTTTATTTTTACTGACAATTCTGACAATGTCAGGCTGTTAAAAGAAATAGCAAAGCTGAAATAGATAAATAACTTAAATGTCAAAAGTAATAAAGAGAGAAAACTTACTTCTATTCCTTCAAATTCCAATCAACAAATTTCGTCTCTAAAT